TGAGAGGACTGAGGTGGGGAGGTGCTGATGATAGACAATAGAATGGGTCATCATGAGAGGACTGAGGTGGGGAGGAACTGATGATACACAATAGAATGAGGCACCATTTGAGGGACGGGCTGATGATAGACATTGAATAAAAGATTGGAGGCAACACACGTTTTTGAAACGATAAGTTGCAACGATTTTGCAATTCGCTTCTGTAATAAAGACTGTTGATACCTTTATTAAATGATATTACATCGCGTACTCTTGGGTCACCAGCCTTCTGATTGGCATTTGCATGGAGCTGTAGTTCCTGAGTTGCTGCAGCCCCTGGTTAACAAGGAGAAAAGAAGAAGTGCTATTCAGGTGCCCTGATAAAGGTGTTCTTGACCCTGGTTAGGTTCATTGTCAAATCATGTCAAACAAAGAGCGGTGCTTCGTGTCCGGCAATACAAACGCTTTTACATGCCAAACCTTGGCCACCCAACTCAACTAGATAGCCAATCAAACAGCGAGAATTTAGGCATGGAATCACTCAGAATGACAGCAAAAATTTAAAATTATTTCAACAAAAACTGAAATGGCGAGGAATTTGCCAAGTTGATACCAACTTTGATCCCTTTGCTCAGTGGCTAATAATGGATACTTTTGTAAAAGGTCTTTTTATTGATGGATTAACACTTGAAAGGATAGGATTCAACGGCATTGGTAAAAAAAGAGTTTGGTGGTCCACGGTTAGGCGCTCGAACTGTAACACTTTATTACTCTTTTCATTGCTACTAGATACTAGCTGATTGACACAACAGTCCAAGGGCGGATCCAGATATTTCGTAAGGGGGTGACTATATTACAAAGGTTTTACCAGGAATTCGAGGAAAAGGGGGTAGACTGTTACTAATGTTATACTGAGATATTTGAGCAAAAGGGGGTGACTAGTCACCCTTTTTACCATTTCTGCATCCGCCCTTGCAGTCGCGACACGCAAATTAGGCAATACACTTCCATCAATCAAATAAATTGGTCAGTACCTATATATTCTCTGATTGACGGCAGCGTATAATTGCCCTATTTCCCTGTTGCGACTGTTGTCTCGATCAGTGCTCAATAGTGATGGTGAATAGTAATCGATTTGAATACTATGAATTATTACCTAAAGATGTTTTGTCTCCCTCTCTTGCGGTACTGAATGGTTGTTCCATGCGGGGCACTGTTTGACCTGTTGTTACCTTGGCAGATGAAGATACATCAACGTCCATATTCCTTAATTTATTATACCACACAAGCTACTAATAAATGAAAAAAAAAAAAGAAATAGTAACAAAAACAATGGTGTATTCGAATGAAATCAAAGGCATGGGCTATAGTCCATGCTCTTTGTCCCAAAAAAGCTCAAAATGACCTATTTTGCAGATTTCATAACTAATGTATGATTTTGAAAAAGGCGTGAAAATGCTCCAAAATCCATCAAAACCATGGGCTATAGTCCATGCTGTTTCACCGAAAATGGCCCAAAATGCCCTAATTTGCATGTTACATAAATAATCTATAATTTTCAAGAAGGTGTGAAAA